TACAAAAGTAACGTACAAACTTTACTTGGTGCTACTTTGTGATATCACTTTTTTTGTAAAACGGGTTTTTAGAGAAAGAATGTTTTGTAGTATATAAATTTTGTAAAACAGGTTTTAGAGAGAAAGAAGTTTTTGGAGTATAAATAAAAAAAAATAATTTAATTTAAATACAATACGTGTTGTGCGTGTACTTGGCGCCTGGTTTTACCTTTTTTTGAAAAGGTAAGTTTTAGAAATAACACCAGTTTTAAAGAGTTTATATTTATAAATAACGGTAGGAACAGCGGAATCTAACATACAAAAATACATACGAGGTGTGTTCAAAAAGTAACGGAAATTTTTAAATTTCGCGGGTTTGGAGAGTCCGCTTGTAAAAATTTTTTTTTATTATGTTGGTACACATGCCCCTGAAGTACGATAAAATTTTCAGCAATATTCATTGCTTACTTTTCAAGTGGCAGCCGCTAAGGTTAGACGTGTTTTTCGAACTCGGAGATTTTTGTTTGTTAAAAAAAATGGATCAAAGAATTTGTATTAAATTTTGCGTAAAAAATGAAATAAAGTGTAATAAAGTGTGTGAAATGTTAACAAAGGCATATGGTGAGTCTGCTATGAGTAAAACAAGGATTTACAAGTGGTATAAGCGTTTCCAAGATGGCCGCGAAAACGTTGAAGATGACGAACGACCCGGACGCCCAAGCACATCAACAACCGATGAAAACGTGAAAAAAGTGAAAGAAATGGTTATGAACGATCACCGAATCACATTCAGAGAAGTCGCTGATGATGTTGGCATATCAATTGACTCATGCCATGAAATTTTCTCGGATGTTTTGGGTATGAAACGTGTGGCAGCAAAATTTGTTCCAAAATTGTTGAATTTCGAACAAAAACAGCGGCGAATGGAAGTTGCTCAGGAGTCACTAAATGAAGTCAAGAACGATGCAGAACTACTGAAACGTGTTATAACAGGTGACGAAACATGGGTTTACGGATATGATGTCAAAACTAAGGCTCAATCGTCTTAGTGGAGGCATTCTGGATCGCCAAGACCGAAAAAGGCTCGACAAGTGCGGTCGAATGTGAAGGTTATGCTCACTGTGTTCTTCGATTTTAATGGCATAGTGCATCATGAATTCTTGCCACAAGGTCAAACAATCAATAAGGAGTACTACCTACAAGTTCAACGCCGTTTGCGTGAAGTAATCCGAAAAAAACGCCCGGATTTGTGGAAAAACAATTCATGGCTTTTGCACCACAATAATGCACATGCTCACACTTCATTGCTTGTTCGTGAATTTTTGGCCAAAAACAAAACTGTAACGATGCCCCAGCCTCCATATTCGCCAGACATGGCTCCATGTGACTTTTTTCTATTTCCAAAAATAAAGAGAACATTAAAAGGCCGTCGTTTTACAAGCATAGATGACATTAAAAGCGAATCGCTGAAAGAGCTAAAAGCTATCATAAAGATCGAGTTTCAGAAGTGTTTCGAGGATTGGAAAAAGCGTTGGCACAAATGTATTGTATGCGAAGGGGACTACTTTGAAGGCGACAACATTAATGTAGATGAATAAATAAATATTTTTTTCATAAAACGAAAATTCCCGTTATTTTTTGAACACACCTCGTATGTATCAATGCAGATCAGAAAACAGAATAAGCAATAGTGATAAAATTTCCGACGAGTTGGAATTTTGTGTCTATTGCTTATCGCTATCACTATTCCTTTGCATTGTGCAAGAGGCTTAAGTACACAAAAATGTCTATAAAACACAAATATTGCGCAAAACGTAAACGTATGTAACGCAAAATATGTATGCAGAACTGTATTCACATGATAGGATAGGATATTTGTCAATGATGAAATCTTACTTCGAGAGACTCTGTTCGGTTATTACTGGCAGTACTGAAAAATCTATAGTATACGTGACATGAATCTATAAATTTTCAGTACTGCCAGTAAAAAACAAACGCAGCCTTCGTAATTGATATAATCTATTCCGGTGTGATGTGAGCACTCAGGTGTTCCGCGAACTTCATACTTATTAAGTCGAAAAATAAGCGTCAAAACGACGATTAGGTTGTCATACGCGCGAACGAGATTACTGATTACGTTGGATTATTTTCGGAGCAATGAATTCATCGGGCGATTCATTGTAAGTACGTATTCGCGTCATGTCGCGAGTTTTTCAGTAAGCTTAAGCAACAATTAAATTTCTGTTGCTATTTTGTTACGTATTACGGTATTTGTTAGTATGTCGTAAATTCTATCAAAAGATCACTCAAATTTCGTAGAGGTTATGTAGCGCATTATAAACATTCGCGTGATTGTTAATAGTACGTAGTACTTTTATTTAGCAACGTGTCTCTTTAGTCTCTTGTATTTATATATGTATTATAAATTTTTTAATATAGTTATACTATTTAATATAGTTATACCATTTTATTATTTTTTCCATACAGGTTGAGTTTTTTTATGACAAATGTGTGAATTGTTGACTTATTGAGGTTTAATTTTATTATATAAAATATGGTGAAGCTAGTTGTGCCAAGAGTACATTGGACAAGATTTGTACCTTTACAATGTGTGAGTATGATATAAATTTTCTATTGTATGACATCACATGCTTAGATATAATAAATAAGATTAGAATATGATAATATAAGACTTGCATTTTTAGTTGTCAGCAAAGCCAAAAGCTATACTCGATGATGAAACATTAAATTTGATTTGTAACAATGGCCTAAAATATATAGGCATCATCCTGGTATTGTTAAACCTAGAACACCAGTATTCTCGGCATGGGCATCAAAGAAAATAGAAAATATCTTGAAAGGTACGGACTACACAATTGTGTATATCATTAATATGTTCACAAACATTTATATAATAATATATTGTAAAGTTGTCATAGTATATTGTAACATTTGCCATAATATATGAAACATAACTTATGTACACCATTTTATAATATTACTTTTTAGAAAAAAAACTAACATAAGCTTGAAAGAATTGAAAGAAAGTGTAAAAAAAATATTTTGCCATTTTCATGTGTAAAAAAATTATTTCGCCATTTTCAAGTGTAAACAAATTATTTCGCCATTTGCCGTTGGAGCAATCACAACTGCCAAAAAAATTACAAAAAGTAGAAGAACGTTTGAATGCTAATCGTAATCAGAAAATGTCTATAGAAGACATAGATTTCGTACGGATAGAAGATCAAGGCAAATTTTGAAGACCAATGTATACAATTGGCAACCAATTAATTTTGATAAGCTCACTTACGTGTCTGCTTGATAGAGAAGTTCAAAATTATGCGGTTATACAGGGTGCGTCGCCAAAATCCGGACAAATTTCAATTTGATATTCCCTCCGTTCAGTACCATTGGCAGATGTCGCGATTG